TTCGAAATGTAATCTCGACTCACTTTGAATTCTGTCAGAGTATTGGTGTACGGGATGTTCCTTCCTCATCTCGTGATCAAAGCTTTTACTAGTTAACAAACCTTTCTGGTCCTGCGTGTTCCTGCTGTTGGATGAAAGAGAAACATCTGCAAGACTAACCTCTGTGAGGTATATTGTATAAATGTCTGTCGAATATAGTTCAGTATCCAGCGTGGTTGTAGCTGGGGATGTAGTTTTCACATATATTCATTGGGCATACTTGACGACTTGGTCACACTTGAAGGCTATAAATCAAATCATATGAAGGAACAATTTGTTCAGGCCAGTCTCAACTCCCTACACAGTAGGTTAATGGACTGACACCTATCAGAAAGCAACTACTTTCCTGGCAAATACCACGAAGGGCGTTGGATTAAATCCAACAGGTGTCAGTGCAGGATTCTTCACTGAAGTTATTCCTGCATATGCTGTTGGTGATACAACTGACGAAATAGATTTTCAATTATTGGAACACACTTGCAGACTGGTTTCGGGCTGTTTGGCCACTCGTTAGTGCAAGGTAGTGTGTATCATCAACATAAAGTCAATGATTTCCGATAATTGAAAATCGAATTCTTTCAGAGTATCATTCCTCGATCTAGGCTAAAGCGGACAACAAACCTCACCATTGAGGGCAGACCTCACCGAAGGCAGATGCAAATGACAAACATCCAACAAACTAATACATGAAACAAGATTGTTAGAATGGCTGTCATGCCCTTGAAACTGGTGTTTTCTAGAGCCTTGGAAAAAAGGATAAGTGAGACTTCTCCCAAACAACAGAAATAGAGCAAACTCGATATTATTAGAGAATCTAATAGAAACGTTTTAAATCACTTCAATTAAATTGAACCAGAAGTCTAACAACCGATTTCTGGATGAGTTGATTATCTTCAAAGAAAAAAAAAGACTAAACTGATTTTCTATATCATTTTCCATAACTGAAAAACAGCAAAGATTGAACGTTTTCAAAAGAAAGTTTTCAATATAAGATGATGGGAGCTAAAAATTCAGGAATTAGTGAAATAAGCTGAGTACCACGACAAAAAGAAGTAATATATATACATACATATTATAATCTTCATATTTTTCAGATTGTGGAAGTTGAAAATACCCAAAAATGGTAGATGAAAAACTGATTTTCAAAAAATGCCTTTCTCTCTCTCTCTCTCCCTCTCTATATAAAATCGAGAAAGGTTAATGCAGTCAAGCTGCTGGAAAATATTTCCACTTATGTCTCGCTTGCGTTTACGCAGTTATTTTAGGACCGCCCGCCCAGTACCTACTGACGATGCCCAATAGGCTGAAACAGATGTCTACCGGTGGCTCTTGAATTGAAATCAATATGGGAATGATCAAAATATCTTCCAGACGGTATTATTATAATAATGTTTTATTGCGTTGATAGGTATAACTGAAATACAAAGATGAAGCAAAGTAAATGAATTCACCAATCAATGTGTCAGTTTGAAAATTTTGATTTTAATAAGTGCATTATCTGTGAACACTGTCTGAAATTACAAATGAAATGTCGAATTCGTCATATTACAAAAATGAAAATTCCAAATTTTTAGACCTGCTAGGAAAAGTACCCCTGGCGGTGTTGTTAATTAGTAAATTTTGGAACAGAAGGTTCGTGATTGTTCCCATAAACCACAATGATATCGAATATACATGTAATGTATACCAATGACTTATTGGAAAAAACTTAGAATCCAATATATTGCTTTGCTGACGACAGCACACTCGTCATTACATTTGGATTCCAAGACATCGGCAATATCTTAATAAGGATCTAGACGTAATTTCCAATTGGGATGAAAGTAACCAGGTTCAATTGAATGTCACAAAAACCCAGGCATCGGTTTTCTCCAAAAAGATACATATTTCCGAACCGGATATAATAATGTCAGGTCAAACAATTCCGCTTTCTGCTTCGATAAGTTTGTTGGGGGTTAAAATGGACACCAATATGTCTTGGCACAAACATGTCGCTGGAATTGCAAAGGCTGCTTCACGAAAGACTGTTCCGAACCAGAAAACTGTACTCACCTCAGCAACTGTTGATGCTTTATAAAACTCAGATCAGACCTTCTTTGGAGTATTGTTCTCATGTATGGAACTCCGCCCCCAAACATACCGTGAAGCTGCTGGATTCCATCCAGCTACCTTGCTACCTTGATAGCCTGAAAAATCGAGAGAAGGTTGGAGATTTGTCCCTGTTCTATAGATACTTTCACGGAAAGTGTTCAAGTGATCTGCACATTTGTTTCCACCAAGAAAGGTACATATCAGAAATACCCGACGGACTGTGGCTGCTCATCGTTTTGAGGTTCAACTCAGTACACCTCGAACATCACTGTTTAAGAACCTTTTCATTTGGAGAACGGTGTTTATATGGAATAATCTTCCTGAGAAAGTTTTTCCAAATGGAATTGATCTCCAGCGATTCAAATTCAATATGAATCACTACTTTCGCACAGACACCGCTCTTGAAGCGCCTTTAGGCGCTTGTGTAGTGCTTGTGTTTCGCCCTTAAAAAATGGATGACTCAAATCATCTTGAGCGATGAGGACCATTTCTGGATGAGTGGATTAGTTTAGGTTAGGTCAAATGTGAGTGGTATATTTGACCCTCCACCGCAACCCGCAAGGGTTTATTGTGTTTCACACCTATTTACACTTGATGATATAAACTCAGCTTCTTTACGAAGCCGATTAGTTTGTATCTATATTTCTTTGAGACCGACGTTGGCCAGGGCCATCACTGTCAACGGCGAGCACTATAGGTCGATGATTACCAACAACAATGTTATATTCCACACATAATGGCATCAATAGGTATTTCAAACGAATAAAAAATGTCCATGATATCTCACACACACTTATTTAAATTTAAAGATAGGATGCGCTTATAAAAATGAGGATTCGCGCTATCAGATATATCTAGAAGAAGAGTTGTGGAATTAATATACTTCATCTCCTGATGATTCCAACTTGGTTGATCAAACGCAAATCGAGGAACATGTTGCAGCAATGGTGTGTGATAGAATTGTTTATGTTGGATTCATTCTTCGCCACAGCTTCGAATTTTCGTCTACTAAGTCTCACTAGCATGTTTTTTCATTCCCTCAGAAATTATTATTGTAAACTTTTTGAATATCCCATTGTAATTATTACTCTTATTATACAAATTCTTTCAAATTTTCTGCAAATATTCATTATTACAGTAAATCCAGACCGATTTTGAGAAGATACTTCAATTTGTCAAGGATCGTAAGCAAATCAGGGAAACTGAATACTTTCTTGACGAAACGTCAACAAAAGAATTTGACATACATAAAAGATCTTGGCAATACACTATTGACGATTCAGTGGAGATGGATTCTTTTTACCCTGGTCCTAGTAAACTATGCATCTTTTCTACTATTTGGAGGACTGTGGTGGATTTTAGCTATCAATAGTGGGGACTTTGATGAGAATAACACAACACCGTGCGTAGTGAATACCAGATCTTTCACAGGTAATTTACGTAAACAAAAAAAATTTACATCAAATTTAATGTGCCACTATTCAAAACAGGCTTTTACATGAAATTGCAAATATTTTATCAACATACTTACGCCTTAACTAACCGCATTTACACTAGGCAACTGTTTCAGAACATTGTTATTGAACAAGTTGCACAAACAAGTTTTTCTGTTTAGCAACAAGTTGTTTTCTTCCCATCCTGAGTCAGTGAAGATCAAAGAAAATGTCCAACATGTTTTAAAACTTTACTTACTAGATAAATATCATTTAATACTATTTCAATAACTTGTTCGTTATGAACAATACGAAATAATAGTGAAAAATGTACAATACTGAGGTATAAAAAACTGGCACTCAGAATATGTTGCTACAATTTTTTTTTATCAAATCAAATCAAGTTTATTTCCACGATAATATAAAATTTGTTATATGACATAAATAATTATTAGATTTCAATTATCTTGTATGAGTAACTTTCACCTAGGCATTGAAATGTCTGTATTGTGTATATTACTAACCCAGATAAGAGTTATGTATGTACATTTTATGGAATAGAAACAATATGACAATACTAAAACATAATATAATTGAAAAAATATGTTAAACTCATAGAGGAAACAAAAAGGAGTAGATATAAGTTAAGTATATGTTTGTATGAAAAAAGATTCAGATGGTATAGGAACCGATATCTAATGTAGGGAATTTCTTTTTTATTTACATATATGTCAATTTTTTTGAGTTTTCAATTATGAATCGCTTGAGAACTCATTTGAATTCATTAATTTTATTAATTGTTTTCAATTCTACTGGACGTAGGTTGTACAGTTTTGTACCAAAATAGAACACGAATCTTTGTGTATGTCCTTTCTTGTAAAGTGGTATTTCAATATTTAGATTGACGGCTGCTCTAGTTCTTACTTTTGTATGAGTTACATAGTTGCTAAATTTCAGAAAGATCCATACTAAACACATGTAACTAATGTTCCTTCTATAACCGCGCATTTGCGATTGAAACTTTTTTGTGTATGTCATTTTGTCCAATTGAGGTTCATTAAAATGCGGCTGATCATATGAATTGAGTGACAAAGTCATCCATTTTGGTTTTTTTACATTCAGACCCAATTAATCATTATTCAACCAGAGAAGAATTTTTTTCACATTAATTTCGGAAGTTTTATAGACTTTATCAGTGAAGACCATGGCCGTCCCACCAACATAACACTTTATATAACCATGAAATTTATTATCCTGCGTTATTGCGTTTATGGACCGGACCAAGCACTGTTCCCTGGGGTATACCCACATTGATTTGTAATATTACACTGAGCTTGCTACCAATTTCAACAGTTTGTGATTGTTTTTTTTAAATACCTAATATAAAACTTACACGCTTTTTGTAGTAGGATTTCATGCGACACAGCATTGGAAGCCTTTGCCAAGTTCATAAATAGCGCAAGATATTTCAAACACTTTNTTTGCCAAGTTCATAAATAGCGCAAGATATTTCAAACACTTTGCATTTCCTTTTTTATTCTATAGAACAATTCGTTGGTATTATGACACTGATGACCATAGGGGTTTGGCCTCTTTTTCTCGAATAACAAGTAGAGGTTTCAATGCCATTTTCAAAAAACCCTGTGGGTTACACCAGTACTCGAGAAGGATTGATATTTTGATGACTTGTTACCTCAATTTTCTGGTTTGGTTTCTGAATGATGCCTCTATCTCAATTTGTTCAAAAGATAGAGAAAGGTAGAACTGGAACCTCTTGTCTAGAATATATTCAAATCAAGTACTGTTCCGAAATCCCCGAACTATAACACTCTTCTTGACGCACGTTTTGATTTCAAAAGATTGAGGGTTTAGAATTATCAATAACTTTCTTTGAAATGTACTTTGATGAAATCAAGCATTTTTGTCTCGGAACGGCTATACAAAAATCGTAACAGCAAAATAGTAATAGTATATACGAGTACAATTGCAAATAATACCGGGTGTTGTCTCCCCCTTGCCATGAGTGAAGACCAAATTTCTTGAGGAAAGTTGTTCCTTTCCTCAACAAGAGCAACAAAAACCGCAAGACTTCGAGGAATAAACTATGGCACCGTCCTAGTTTATCCCACGAATACTCGTCTGGGTTCATATCGGGGCTTTTGGGAGGCCAAAAAGTTAACTATTCCAACACAATAGCACTAAGTAATATGCTAGAATATTTTCAATGTACATTTGTCGGAAACGACTTCCAACGGAATTCTCCCTCGGATTTAACTGGTGTGACCCCGGACTGTTTTATCACTGTCATAAATGTCGCATATTTCTTTGAAGAGAATTTTTTTCAGCAGCAGGTTGAAATTGATTGCGAAAAGTTTGCAATTTATTGAGCTTACTATCAATGTGAGAGGACCAGTTATTTCCGGATTACCAACATGACAAGCTGTATATTTTTTATTCCTTCATGAGTGCAACTTGTTCGGAATGATCTGATCGATTCATTGCAAAAAGTTGCAAAATATCCTTGATCAAACTACTGATAGTAGTTTGTTCGAAATTACTATATTGTTATCGGGGTTTTCCCCGTAAGTTGACCAATAATTGACTACACTGAACAATAATCAAACTTAACTTTATTTCACTTCAAATACAACAAACACTTCAATTATTATTCGAATGTATATCGCTTTACTTGATCGCTTCGCGTACCGCACTGTAACTTCCACTTGACTGTCTCGATGGGCGAGTGGGTAGCGCTTATATTTGGCAATCGAAGGCGCTGGAACATTCCGCGAAATGTAGGTCAAACTGAGCGCATTCTCAGCAACATCATAATTGGTTTATGGCTACCAGTGGCAGATGGCGTTATTTTCTTTAGGACATCTTTTACAACAATATGACTGACACTCGACTCTTCACAGGTTGTTACGATGAAAGGAGATTATTTCAATTGTGGTGTTGAGTGGTACTTCATGTTACAGCTATTTAAATGAAATGAATAAAAACACTTGTGTCTAAATACCACTGGTAGATTTTATTTATATGACCGGTTTTGGGTTTGACCCCATTATCTACCAATGGTATGCAGACAAAAGTGTTTTTATTCATTTCATTTAAGTGATCATGAATTACCATAAAGTAAACAAGTCATCAGTCACACATACTACAGCTATTGATTTGCTGACGACAGCATAATTTTCTCGTCATTCCATTTGGATTCCAGGACATCAGCTGCGAATGCACATCTCCATCGGCAGCAGTAGGTTGCATATCTTGATGAAGATCTAGAGGTGATTTCGAATTGGGGTGAAAGTAACCAGGTTCAATTCAATATCACAAAAACCCAGGCATCGGTATTTTCCAAAAAGATAAATGTATCCGAACCGGATATAATAATGTCAGGTCAGACAATTCCGCTTTCTGCTTCGATAAGTTTGTTGAAGGTTGAAATGGACACCAATGTGTCTTGGCACACAATCATGTCGCTGGAATTGCAAAGACTGCTTCTCTAAAGCTTGGAACACTGTTCCAAACCAGAAAACTGTATACACCTCAGCAACTTTTGATGCTTTATAAAGTTCAGATCAGACCTTCTTTGGAGTATTGTTCTCATGTATGGAGGTCCGCCCTAAGCATACCCTGATGCTGCTGGATTCAATCCGCCTGATTGGAGACGAGATCATCACTCGCAACCTTGATTGTCTGGATTATCGAGAAAGGTTGGAGATTTGTTTCTCTTCTTAGATACTTTCACGGGAGGTGTTCAAGTGACTTCGCACATTTGATTCCACCAAAAGCGGTACATATCAGAAATACGCGACGAACTGTAGCTGCTCATCATTTTGAGGTTCAACTTAGTAATCCTCGAACTTCACTGTTTAAGAACTATTCCATTTGGAGAACTGCGTGTATATGCAATACACTTCCTGAGAACGTTTTTCCAAATGGATTCAGTCTTCAGCGATTCAAATCCAATGTGAATCGCTACGTTCGCACAGGTACCTCTTTTAGAGCGACTTAAGGATTTTTCTGTAGTGCTTGTGTTTTGTCCTTGAAAAAAAAAGCTCGACTCGATAGGCTATACTTTTTCAACCAAATAAGATACAAACAAGATTCAAAAACCAAACCGTAAACGAGTGTATACTCAAAATATTGGTTAAAAAAATTATTTCGCTCGAGTACTAGTAAAATCAACAGGACGTTTCGAAAATAGCATAAAAAACCTGTACCTGTTATTAAGAAAAACATACCATAATATTAACATAGGTAATGAGATATATGTGGTTACAATCAAGAAGCGTCTGATGAAAGTCTACCGATTCAATGATTCAAAATAAGAAAGATCATGAAACAATATTTATTAATTTCCATTGTATTGTATTGAATATATGTATATAAATTTGAATTGATTTTAGGTTATGTTCTTCTGAGTGTAGAAACGATCACAACTATTGGTTATGGATATCGCTATCCCACAGAATATTGTGAAGGAGGAACAATGTTATTCATTTTACAGTCTTTAGTTAGTGTAGCTATCCAGGGTGCTCTAATTAGCACAGTGTACATTAAAATATCTAAACCGTTTTCCAGTTCAACTTCGTCAATATTCAGTAGAGCTGCTGTGGTAAGTTCATAACGTGACAGTAGATAACTGTTTTTATTCGAGGGGACCATTTTTGCAAGGTATCAGGATATACTCATGAAGGACAACAAAGAATTATCAAAATGACCTTTTTATTGACAAAATATTTATATTATTGGTAATTCAACAGAATTATATTTTAATTCATGTAGTGAAAGTAGCGTTGACAGACCCCTAGATACCAATTTTGAATTAAATCACATAATAATATCAAACATCAATCGTAATTATAACTGTTCATGATTTCTGATCGAAAATTCTTTACACAAACCGTACCGCTTGTTCATCAAATCTGAGAATAAATTACAAATTTCTTCATCTGATTATATGAAGCAAAGTTCATTACTTTTAAAATTGACATTTATCATTGTAAAGAATTAGTTCATTTGAAATAATTTAATTTCAACCCAGTCAACCACAACCTGACAGTAGATAACTGTTTTTATTCGAGGGGACCATTTTTGCAAGGTATCAGGATATACTCATGAAGGAAAACAAAGAATTATCAAAATGACCTTTTTATTGACATCCCGCCACACCCCCTCATCCATAAGTTATACAGAAAAAGATAGTCCGATACCCGCTTCAAAATACATGTATTGTATTGGTATAGGCATGGCAACTCTATGTCTTATTATTACTCTGAGGATTTACCAATCTAAATTTTCATTATTTTCTGTGAAGCTCCATGGTCACTCTTATTTTTTTAATAGTTTTATCATAATCGTGATCACATAAAGTTATGGTTAGATTTTTTCAGATATGCATGCGAGATGATAAACTACGATTCATATTCAGAATCCATGATTTCAACCGAAAAATATCGTGTGGGACAAACATATCTTTGTATTTTATAGATAAGGAGCAAGTTCCCAATACCGAGTTTGAAATGATCCAAATGAAAATTGAACCACATGGTCTGTGTATTTTTCCATTGGAAATAGAACATATCATAGATGAAACAAGCCCTTTATGGACATTTCGACCTTTAGACTTCCTTCAATCAAGGTAATTAGCCGTTCAATTTGTTGATATTAAATAATTGTTAATCATAATCCGCAGCTTGTAACAATAATTCAGCTCTTAAAATCCGACCTATTTTATGATACTTTATAATGATTTCAACTGTAGTACCTAGGTGTTGAGTTTAATTCTGAAAGTTAAGTAGATGTAGGTATTCGTTGATTTTATTAACTCACGAATTATGTATGGGTTACTGAGTTTCATCATGAAACTTTTTATGTTAACAATTAATTTCTCAGTATCTTGTATTTCCTTCACGCGCTTTTCTTACAGCTTTCAAGCGGATATAATCATTGCTGTTTCCTACTATTCCACATTGTGTGCTCTTTTAGTATTTTAATTGGAAGATGATTCTGCTCTCTTGTCAATCAGAGATGGTTCCGTACGTGCTTAATTGAAATGAGATCCAAATTTCGTGCTGTTCAAAGTGAAGTGTTGAAATTGGACTCTTCGAAATACTCAGCTGTGACTCTGGCAACATGTAAAAGAGGATTATAGTGCTCAAAAACAAAAGTTTAAAAATCTGTTTAAAATCTGTTTTTCGTTAACCAGCTGTCGCACCCCTACGAACGACAACCCTCAGAAGTCGAAACTTGTGCGAGCTAAGGATTAACGAGGTCTTACCTTTTAACGTGTGATTCCTAACACGGTATTGCCAACAAATGGTATATAAGGTACCACGTGATCCACTGCAATGTCTTCATCGCCTATCGGTCATCAATTTTCCCCTATTTAATGACACAAGAATTGTAAGAAATTCTACCCTACCTCATAATTGATCCACCATTAGTCTCTCGAAAACTGAGCTAATCGTTGTTTTTTTCTGAGATGCTAATGCACTTGCCGTGGGCATATCCAGCATATACGACAAATGACCGGAAAGAATGTGTATTCCTACACTCAACCAAGAACAAACAGTTTACAAGAGTGTTTGACAATCTTATCAAATACTATTTGAAATGTAAACCAAGGTACATATTATGAAAGTAGGTATTGAACAGGGTTGGAGCTTGATAGGGGAATGAACTTTTATATAATTTCACAGAATGTTTCGGACTTATAAGAAAAAGTATTAATCGAAAATATCAATCATATGTGAGATATTCGATAGTTTTATCCAGGAGTTTATATACAATGTTCAATAAGGGTGGCATACGTTATGTACACATTTTTAGCCAAAGAAGGGTCATAGACTATAAGATCTGCTTCCTTTGAACCTTAAAAAAATACTCGACCCGTCACCATCATAAAACCTCCCCTATGGACTAGAATTGCGACAGTATTTGCAACAATTCGCTGGCTTCTCTCATATAAAAATGTCTTCAGAAAGATACAAACTCCGTAACTAATTCCAAAGTATTGCAGTGGATAACAATTAGGAATAATTAATTGTAGCAAACCCCATTCAATTCCCTATGGACTAGAATTGCGACAGTATTTGTAACAATTCGCTAGCTTCTCTCGTATAAAAATGTCTTCAGAAAGATACAAACTCCGTAACTAATTCCAAAGTATTGCAGTGGATAACAATTAGGAATAATTCATTGTAACAGACCCCATTCAATAGTTGAGAGGAGCAAGAGAGTATTTTTATCCTTGTCTTCACCTTCAATAATGTCATCAATGATTTTGAGATATGTTCATATACTAAATACATTTTGAATTCATAACACATTTCTTCTTAAAAAAACACCTAACTCTTATCTTTACAGATTTGAAATAATTGCAGTTGCTGAGGGCAGTTCGTACATAACAGGACTAGTTTCACAGAATAGAACATCCTATTCGAGTTCAGATATACTTTGGGGTCATCGTTTCAAGCAATGTGTGGAATACGATGAAACAAAAATGTCTTTTGTAGTTGACTATGAGAATTTCAAGAAGACCATACCATTCAACACGCCGCTGTGTAGTGCTAAAAAACTAAGAGATATTGAAGAACAAATCAAAAATATCAATGTCATGTCAAAAAGATCAATTTCAAAGATTATAAAAAAATAAAACAGGGTTTTCCTTTGAAGTAAAATGGTGTCCTTCGAAAAAATTATTTCAACCGTAGGCATAGTGTCAAAAATATTCATTCATTTTGTATCATCGAAAGTATTCTTTCATTGTTCTAGAAATTGGACAAAGGTCCAGAAATTCAAGCATCTCAAATACAAGCAATATACAAATAAAAAATATGAAACATTGTTTCAACATTGCCTCATTCTGAACCTTTGATGATCAATTCAACCTAGCTCTCACACACTGCAGCACAAATATTGTTCTTAATCATCTTCTGAAAAAAAATAACATCGGCCGCTGCTGGTTGTCGTAAATCAATTGTGACGTGGCCAAGATCGCGCTCAACTCGACTGACGCTTCGCGACCGTTCTAGGTGTCGCGTCGCTTCGAGAATAATTCTACCGGCTTCGATAGTCTTCTGGCAGATACCCTATTCCCTATTTGTTTTTTTTTTTTTGGGAGAGTAGATAGAATTCTAGGACGAGCCGTAGGAGAGTCCTGGAAGTTTGCGAGATGAATAAACTGTTTTCGGACGTGTAGCGTGCACTATATTTTTCGGCAACCGTATAGAATAACAAATTAATGAGACATTTCTTTATTATATTTCTTTGTAGAACGAACTCTTTTTTTGTATTGTATTGTGCTACAGCAGCAACTGCTGCATTGGAAATTTTGCAACACACATTTTCAAACTCACTATCGCTGCTTCTTTCCACACTTAATTGGGATAATCGCAAACAAAACCAAACAAACTTTCAAAAATCCAAATGTCAACTAATCTCATGTCAAATATCTGTCAAATGTTATTTCGCTGCTATGGTAATGGCGGGCTCGCAAGTAACCCAGTTCTTCAGAACGTAATTCAGCAAAGGCAACCACTTTTATTGCCAATCAAATAATTTGCAAATAGCACAGTATAACAAAAGCACTGGTAACAGAAAATTAACAAAATTTTATTAATATCAATTAGACAGGAAGTTATTAAAAAAGAATGCAAACTCATTTGACACAATGTGTATAAGTGATGTGCTAATTCGAATTGAAAATAATCGGTAATACGACTATAGGTAACAATAATTCGAAATATCGAATCGATTTCCGACAAAACTTATTCTCTGCTCGATGTTATTTGATCGAAAAGAACAGCGAATAACTTTTGGCGGGTATAATCCAATCAGGAATATGATCAATATACATCCAGTACCAAAATCAATTGAGAATGGAATGAAACGTTATTTCAAAATTCTAATATAGAACTTAAAGGCAGTTCATGTTGGAACGAACATCACATAAAAAGTGCGATTTAAAATGGCGTCGTGTTTATCGTAAAAAAGTTGAAAAAATTGATTTTTTTTGCGATTTCCGCAAAATTTTATGCGTCAACATACAATGAGGTTATATGCTATTTTATTTGACTCTCGTTTTTTAAGCCCATAAAACGAAATTGAATCCGAAATGGAAGAATGTGTAATGTGTCAGGTTGTTCAAATTATATCAACTTTACCGTATATATAAAGCTTCATTGAGGAACCCCTGTCTTTATAGTGTGAGAAATATTTTCAAAAACAAAACAAAATATGGAGAATTTTACAACCTTGTAGCTGAAATGAGAATTAGTAATCCAGAGGAATATTTCAACTATTTCAGGCTGACTCTCTCATTATTCAATAAATTATTGAATTTGGTTGACCCTTCATTAAAGAAGACTAATTTTGCAAAAAAACCCCTCGCTCCTGCACTCAAGTTAAGATAAGTGGTTTGAAGGCACGCTCCTATTAAACAAAAATTGAGAAAATTGTTAGTCCTATTTTCTGATAT